TAGTCCTAGCTACTTGGGAGGCTGAGGCAGGAAAATCGCTTGAACTTGGAGGTGGACATTGTGGTGAGCCGAGATGGCACCACTGCACTCCAGCCTGGGCAACACAGCACCCTGCCCCCGCCACACCCCAAAAAAAGCGGAGCATTCACACTCAGGCATCATGAGATGAATATTAATATTCCAGGGTATCTATTTACATCCTGACCCTTGGGAGTCTCCCTTAGTCTTTCATTTTTTACCTTAGTTGAGTGAGTAGCATAGTTTTAGTTTTGGGGAATGCAGTTTCTTTATTTTTTTTGAGACGGAGTTTTGCTCTTGTTACCCAGAGCCCAATGGCGCGATCTCGGCCCACTGTAACCTTCGCCTCCTGGGTTCAGGCAATTGTCCTGCCTCAGCCTCCTGAGTAGCTTGGATTACAGGCACGCGCCACCATGCCCAGCTAATTTTTTGTAGAGACGGGGTTTCACCATATTGACCAGGATGGTCTCGATCTGTTGACCTCGTGATCCACCCGTCTCGGCCTCCCAAAGTGCTGGGATTACAGGCGTGAGCCACCGTGCTCAAGTCCTTCCTGCACAATAACATTCACCACAGCCAGGCCACCTAGCACGGTGGGCTGCACATAGTGTGCGCTCTGTGTGTGGAACTGGTTCTAATCAGGAACAAAACAAGTAGCAGAGGTCAGTTTTTCAAAGGATAGGATGTAGATAATACAGGTAGAACTGAAAGGCCACAACTCAACAGCAAACCCATTTTACATTAATTTGAGAAATATTTTCAGCTGGTTCTCTGAAAGATGTTGGTTTACACAGACATTTGGGAGTATGGTTGCATATTGTAATCATCTGGAGAGCTTTAAATCACACTGTTGCCTGGGTCTGTCTCTAAAGATTCTGGCTTAATTATTCTCTTGCAACTTGGGTTTGGGAACTTCAACCACCACCACCACCAACATGCACAGCAGGCTATTCTAACGTGCAAGCAAGGGTGAGAAGCATTGATTCAGGATGAGAAATACATTGGTTGTGTTTGATTTCTGTGTGCTCTGGGGATTTGCCCTATAGCTGCTCCTAAATGTGGGGTCTTAGAAAACATCTTTGCCCTTCAGAGCATACTCTTCTGGTTGCTAAATAGCAGCAGCCCTATTGCTGTCACTTGCCTTCAGAGCAAAATTTGTTTTAGGAACAGTAATTTAAATAGTCTGCAAATACAGAAAACTTCAAAGAGTTTGCAGATCTATTGAGTGCATTATAGGTGTTTTCAAATTTCTCCTATGATAAGAAATTAAAAATGTAATGTTGGGCATTAATTTCCTAAACTCAATGCTCAGCAATTTCCTAAAATTGTTCCTAGTTTTTCCAAGAGACTTCAGCAGCATTCCCTGGAGTGAATTATTTTCAATGGTGAAGAGTACTGCATGGATGGGATGAGATTCTCAAAAAAAAAATCTTGCTTCTATTTCAGAAGTGTCCGTCTTCACCCCTTTGAAGGACTAGGAAACCTGGCTGAGTAATGTGGTCTATGGAGATCCGTGGGCTTCAGAGTCAGGCAGCATCATTCCTGAGTCCAAGCCAGCTGCTTGGTAGCTCTGGGGTAGTTATATAAGCCACATCTGCAAGAAAAGTCACGGTAAAATTGATGGCAAAAACAGCAATTTAACAATATTTCTTATTGTATTCATGTTCCTAGAAATGGCTTTTATAGTTGTTCCCATCAAGAGACAGCTTCTGTTTCCTAAACTTGAATCTCTCCTGCCTTATTTGCACAGGCCAAAGCTGTGCATATCACAGTGTGCCAGTTTGGGGCCCAGACTCAAAAGGTCTTAAATACTTCTGTTATCTTTCAGAATTCTTCCATCTCTATGGGAACAAGCCCATTTCAGCTTTCTGGAGGATAAAATAGCATGCTGAGAAAAGCCAAAGTGTGCCAGCTTACACACAGCTTACTCCCAGAAGCAGAGCCACCTAATTCACCAGGAGCTGACCACTCACACCCGAAGGAGCCAAACTGAACCCAGAAGAATGACCCAGCTGAGCCCAGCCTGAATTTCTAACCAGCTCAATCCTGAACTAGTATGTTTTCGGATTGTTAGGCGGTTGTAGCTTAGTAATGTATAAACCCATTAAAGACAGGTTTCCAGGATTCCAGGACAGATTGATTACAAGTAACCTGAAAATGCTTGGCACCCTGTAAGGATCGATTTTGTTTTTCCTTTATTTAAAGTTAAATTTGTTGTAAGATGATATTGACTTATACAGAAGTGAGGCAGGAGAATAGGGTTTGGAGGCAGGGAGCTTAAGGCCAATTTGTGCTGACTTCCTAAGAGAAAAAGCACCAAGGTCTGGGAGCAGGGAACCTAAGGCCAATTAATATGAACTTTCCACATCTAAACCAAAAGGTAAAACCTCATCTACACCCAAGTAGCAAAGGGTCAAAGGCTACTGTCACTAAGACCCTCCCCCTTTCACCAGTTCTCGGTAGAAAAGGAGAGTGCTGCTGGGCACGGTGGCTCACGTCTGTAATCCTATTACTTTGAGAGGCCGAGGTGGGTGGATCACCTGAGGGCAGGAGTTCAAGACCAGCCTGGCCATCACGGTGAAACCCCATCTTTAAAAAAAAGGGAGAGTGCCTTGGAGTGGCCATGGGCCAAGCACAGGCTATGCCTTCATCTGCATAGGGTACCAATTCACCTCAGCCTTCAATTAGCCACAGTCCAAATCTTTCATTCAGATAATGGGTAGCTGATAGGGATCTCAAAAGAAGTACTTAAAACCCAGAAAGCTTTGTAACCGGGTCCTTAAGCTGCTTGCTGGGGCCCACACCCACCTTGCGGAGTGCTGCTTTCCTGTGTTTCATTCCTTTGTGCATTTTGTTAGATTCTTTATTCAAAATGTCAAGGATCTGGATAACTCATATTCACGGCCTTCCTTCTGGGAACAGAAGTGCAGGTAGATGTGGATGCAGGTGATTGGTGCTAAAACTCACACAGTGCCCACACCACCGGAGAAAAACACACAGTTACAGCCTGACAATTAGGTCCAAAGGCAAAGAGCAAAACAAGAAGTTTGCCTTTAATCTATTCCCTCTACATCTAAACTCTGGAGGGCAAGGCTGTGAAGAGATCTGAAGACATGGTGCTCTCTCCTCCTGGGGCCCCATCATTCTTTGTTTACTGTGTGATATTTAAAAGGAAAAGGAAGCCCTGAGAGAGGAGGCAGTCAGAGGCAGTTTAGGAAGATGGGGACGGAGGATCTCGGGAGAGGAAAAACACACGCAGGACTGCACCTGCATCACCCATGTAGCTAGTAGGAAGAAATATGATTGAGAACTTCCTTTTATGCCAGGATGTTGCTCAGAAGGGACTGTCCCAACTTAGGCCCAGGTGTAATAAATCAACCTAAATATCATTAACTTGACCAAGTTCCTTACAATGTTACTAACATGACTTAAGTATTTTGCTTTTAGCTTTACCCTTTCCACCTGCCCTGGGTTTTCCCTGGGCACTCATGGGTAATAACCAAGATGGAGACACTGGTCAACCCCAGGCATGCTCAGATGCAACACCCTTGGGGGGAACTTTACCCCTCCCATTTGGGCAGAACCCAGAGAAGACTTCCTTGTTCTTGCCACGTAAAAGACCTAGAACTCAGCTCCATTTCTGGCAACCTGCTCTCATGTCCCATCTTGCTGAGAGCCTTCCTTTTGCTTAATAAATCCTACTCTGCTTTACTCTCTGGTATCTGTGTGCCTTATTCTTCTCGTCGGGGGATGAGAGCCCCGACCTGGCTGACTGAGGAGTCCACCACACCAGCACCAGACAGCAACTGGGAGACCGTGGTCTTCACGTGGACACTCAGCTTGCAGCCCCTGATCTCTCCACTGTCCCAACCACCCAAAAGCCTGAGGAGAAAAGTTGGTACACAGGCTGTTTCCTCTATTCCAGCAGAAATAAGGTGTTCAGGCTCTCACTTCCCTGAGGTCGGAGCTCTCGAGGCTGCACTCAATGTGGCAGCCACCTGCCATATGCAGCTACTGGGTACCTAGAATATGGTTGTGTTGAAGTAAAATGTGTTACAAAAGTAAGTTATACAGTGAGATTAGAAGAATTAAATCAGAAATATACTTTATTTCTAATTAAATATTGATCACATTAAAACAATAGTATTTTGGATAAAATAGGTTAAAATTATAATTTCACTTGTTTATTTTTATTAGTTTTGATGGGGCTAATACAAAATTGAACATTCACAAATAGCTAACTTTTTTTTTTGAGAGGGAGTCTCGCTGTTGCCAGACTAGAGTGCCGTGGCGCTATCTCTGCTAACTGCAACCTCCACCTCCCAGGTTCAAGCGATTCCCCTGCCTCAGTCTCCTGAGTAGCTGGAACTACAGGTGAGTGCCACCTTGCCAAGCTAATTTTTTTTTTTTTTGGTATTTTTAGTAGAGACGGGGTTTTACCATGTTGGACAGGCTGGTCTTTAACTCCTGACCTCGTGATCCACCCGCCTTGGCCTCCCAAAGTGCTGGGATTACAGGCGTGAGCCACTGTGCCCAGCTACGTTTTATTTTTTTAGAGCATTGCTTCCCTCTTCAAATCTCAGGTGTCCTGCTCAAAGGACCAGAGGCCAGAAAGGTTATGAAATCTAAAATATTAAAATAGTTGTCATAGCATTGTTTCCATTTGTGAACAAGCGTGTGTCGGTGTGTGCGCACGCGCGTGCGTTCACAATTTATAAATGCGTGTAACCTTACACACCAGAGGGTTAAAAATGAACCCCCAGCAGAGGTAGGCCTAGCACAGAAAGCCCTGCCTGCAAGTGCCTGCAGGAACCAGTCTGTCACTCTTGCCTCATTCAGTGCGCTGTATGGTCGCAATTTCTGTCACTCAAAGCCTGAGGCCGCGGAGCTTGGAGCCACATCCAATCAGGGCGCTAGACTGAGAACTGCCCAATCAGGCGCACAGCCGGAGGACAGAGGGCGGGATCCCGGATCTGGCGCGGCTTTTGCTCCAGCCCCAGCTCGGTTAGGGCCTCGGCGCCCTGCTTCCGCCCCCTCAGGGAGGCCGGGGTGATTCAGCCGCAGCCTCGGCCTCCGTCGCTCTGTGACCTGGGGTCTCGGGTGATTCGTAGCTAAGACTCCGCGACACCCCGAAGCCCAGAAATGGTGAGTGTGCGGGGCAGGGCGTCCCGAGGCTGCGGAGGCCTCATCGGAACCGGCGGGAAATGGCGGCGGCGGGACGGAGTCTGGGAGCCGAGTCCCCGCGGCCGCCGCTCAGCCGTCGCGGAGGGACCCGGGCTCCCGTCGGTCCCGGCACGGCGGCTCTGGCCCAGCCTGCAGCCCTTGTTGTCAGCTCTGCGGCCGCAGCCCCGCACCTTCCCCGGGCTGCGAGCTGAGGAGCTCCGCGGTGCCCGCGTGGGCGGCGCTGTGGTCCGTGGTCCCGTCCCTACTTGACCCTGTTCGGATTAGATGGAGGCTCCGTGAAAACGTGGGGTTCCCGTGAGCAAACGGGGACTCGTGCACGGGGCGGCCCCGGCCGTGGCTCGCGCTCTGGGGGCTGCCAGCGGGTCTTGAAGGAAAGGCTCTTGTGAGGGGTGTGGGGAGGCGAAGCGGATCGCCCGCCGCCCCCTTTCCCAGCAGCTCCCTCGCCCCGGGCGTCTCCCCCGCGTGGCTGTTTCTGGGGGGGCGTCTCTTAGACCCCGCCGTGGGTGCGCCCGGCGCTCCGCAGAGTTCTGAGCGGTTCTGCCACGTGACTGACCCCGAGGAGGGTGTGGGCGCCCTTGGTTTGCGGGCGGGGTTCGGAAATGAGGACGCGTGTCCAGAGGCCGGGACTGGCGTCTGCGGGGGGCGGCTGCGGGAAGAGCGCTGAGCTTGTGGGGTCGGCGCTGACTCTGGGTGGTGTCGTTAGTGAGGTGCTGGACGTCCAGTCGGGGTGGAGCACTGACTGCTGTTGAGCAAACTCCGAACGTTTTCTGTCAGAAGACAGATGTGGCTGAGCCTGGGCTGGAGGGAGCCTCGGCTGGTTTCTGCCCATACACTGTCCCACTGGGCGCTGTCCTGTTCCTCCAGGTCTCCTCCGGGGGAGAAGGGGGACTGGAAACTTAGAGGAAAGGTGTTCTGAGAAAATCCCTTCCCTGCACCCTGCTGCCAGCCCCCACCCACTAACCCACTCCTGAGCACGCCCACTGGGCATTTGCATGGCCGCATCCCTCCCAGGAGAGGGTTCTACTATTAGGAATTATGCCCATTGCCAGCTTTGCTCCTACAGTTTTCTCCTAAGAACACACACAATGGCCAGAAGACCTGTAACGGGGACTACGGGTGCATGCCACCACGCCCGGCTAATTTTTTTTTTTGTATTTTTAGCAGAGACAGGGTTTCACCGTGTAAGTATGGTCTCGATCTCCTGACCTCGTGATCTGCTGGCCTCGGCCTTTCAAAGTGCTGGTATTACAGGTGGCTCACAGTGTACCAGCACTTTGAAAGAGCCTAAAAAATTTATGTTTTTTAAATTAAATTCATCACAAGATTCTACCACGAGGCCAGGGCCAAGCATGAGGGCTTCCAGATAATTTAATGAAAAGTGAGTTCACCCTTTGTTCCAATAGGTCACACACAGCCTGCTCAGCTTGGTTTTGGGTGGGGGCAGGTCAGTGTAGCCCATATTTCCACTGTAGCAAGAAAAATTACTGGCATGTCCTCCTTTTTCCTCAGTTATATGATTCTTTAGAGAACATTACTGTGTTTAAAGTTATTTTATCAGATAATTCCAGTCAGTCCCATAAGTCAGAACTAGCTCTCATTAACTCATTTCTCCTGTAGTCAAATTAAGAACTCTGTCACTTGATAAATATATGTTTTCAGGAACAGTTAACATTCAAGGATGTGGCCATAGAATTCTCCCCAGAAGAGTGGAAATGTCTGGATCTTGCTCAGCAGAATTTATATAGAGATGTGATATTGGAGAACTACAGAAACTTGGTCACCCTGAGTGAGGATAACTTTAATATGTAATTCCTAATACTCCCTAAGAGTTTTAATTTTTTCCTTTGTAGAATGTCTCTTGGGAACTTCTGCTTTGCGTGGATTAATTTCAGTTTCTTTCTTCATGAAGAAATTGGGAGTTTGCTAATGTGAAAAAGAAAATCTTTAAGATGTTTCATCTTTACCTAAACCTCTCTTCTTGAAGTAATTTGTGTCCTTCACTCTAGATTAGTTGGTAATTCTAGAAATTCAATGTTATAAGACATTGTTTTCCACATCTTAAAATCCAGTTTGCACCACTTATTTTTGATTCAGTAGTATTGGGTAGTGGAACTCAGAACCCACAGATTTAAAATACTTAAATATTCTAAAGATTCTGTCAGTTAAATAAAAGCAATTAATTAATTTTTTAAAAATCTTCCAGAATTTCTCTTTTCTGCATAGCATAGTACTAGGTTGATAATTGGAGAATCCTCAGCAATAGTCATGTTAATTTTTTTTTTTTAATAAAACAGGTGTTGCTCTCTCTAACTCAGACCTGGTCACCTGTTTGGAGCAAAGAAAAGAGCCCTTCAATGGCAAGACACATGAGACAGTAACTGAAAGCCCAGGTAGGTGAGAGTGAATGAAGGAGATGACACAGGCAAGGGGACCAGAGGTGAAGAAGGAAGCCAGGCCTTAGAATGTATTTGGAAAGCCCTTCTCCAGTGAAAATAATTTTTGAAAAGGCTGCATTTTTTCTCATGTTCACAAATAGAGGCATCTTCAGTCCATGCTGTTAAATATTCTAAGAATTCTCTTTTTTCTTAAGATCTCCCTTCAAGTTTACAGGGAGAGCCAGTGTCCACTTTATCACTTAAAAGAGGCTGCATGATCTGACTGCTGTTTCATGCTTTTGGAGACATAGGAATATTTGTGTTATTGAGGAGCTCTATGTTAATGTATTTTTTTTCAAATATTGATTTTGCATCATGTCTAAAATATGTAAGGCAAGTACTGGACATGTTGGGATTTGGTTCAGAAATCCCAGGAACACCAGGGACAGATGTTGCATCTTTTCTGCTTAGTGATTTTTTTTTTTTTTGAGACTGAGTCTTGCTCTTTCTCCAGACTGCAGTGCAGTGGCACGATCTTGGCTCACTGCAGCCTCTGCCTCCGGGGTTCAAGTGATTCTCCTGCCTCAGCCTCCTGAGTAGCTGGGACTATAGATGCCCGCCACCACGCCCAGCTTATTTTTGTATTTTTAGTAGAGGTGGGGTTTCAGCATGGTGGCCAGGATCGTCTCGATTTGTTGACATTGTGATCCACCCACCTCTGCCTCCCAAAGTGCTAGGATTACAGGCATGAGCCACCGCACCTGGCCCTGCTTAGTGATTTTTAATTTTATGGCAAATTTAATTCTGCAAAAATTCTTGTTAGCAACTTTATCAGAATGATAAGCATTTTCCTAAATACAAAAACGTAATGTTGATTGTTCTTCAAATTGTTATTGTTTTAGTAGAAACTGAGATTTGTAATTTAAACTCTGTAAATTTTAAAATTATAATATAGTTTAAAGCATTGGTTTCCAACCCTTTGGCTTCCCTGGGCCACACATAATTGTCTTGGGCCACACAGAAAATAAGCTAACACTAATGATACCTGATGAGCTTTTTAAAAAAAAGTTAATGAATAATTTTTATGATAACTACCACAACAGATAAGCAAAATGCTCTTACATTCATAGAGGTGGACACCACTTGAATAAAGTATCTACTCACCTTCTAGATTTCTTAAATGCACTGTCATTAACCAGCTTAGAACATTGCTAAGTGTATATTATTATTTCTTAATAACTATTATCTTACAATTTTACATTGAGATCTATCTATATATAAAAATGTGGGTCTCACACATACACAAACCTGTATAAGTTATATGTGTTTACTGTAAATCCTCACTTAACATTGTTGATACTTATTGTTTAAGGAAACCAATTTTGGCCAGGCATGGTGGCTCATGCCTGTAATCCCAGCACTTTGGGAGGCTGAGGCGGGCAAATTATGAGGTCAGGAATTTGAGACCAGCTTGGCCAACATGGTGAAACCCCATCTCTACTAAAGATACAAAAAATTAGCCGGGTGTGGTGGCATGTGCCTGTAATCCCAGCTATTTGGGAGGCTGCGACAGCAGAATCCCTTGAACCCAGGAGGTGGAATTACCATAGTTTAATTGCATATACTAACATTGTTTTATTTAAAGATGCAGTTTTCAAGAATCTATTTTGAACATTAAGTGAGGACTTACTGTACAACTGTGTTTGTGTCACATGGATTTTTCTAATAAAAATTGTATAACTATATATTTAATGTGTACAGTGTAATGATTTGATATGCATATACATTGTGAAACAAAATACAGTCAAGTTGATGAACACATCTCTTACCTCAATTTTTTTTTTGTAGTAAGAACACAAGATCTACTGCTGTAGCAAATCGTAAGCATAAATTGCAGTATTAGTAACTGTAAACACAGTGCTATTTGGCTAATCTAATGTGAATTTACATTAGATTTCTCAGACTGACTCAACTTGTAACTAAAAATTTGTATTCTTTAAACATCTCCTCATATTTCTACCCCCAGGTACTAACCACCACCATTCTACACTCTGCTTCTGTGAGTTTACTTTTTTAGATTTCCCGTCTACCTTAAAACAAGCAGTTTCTTTGTCTTTCTGTGTTTGGCTTATTTCATTTAGCATAACGTCCTCCAGGTCTATTCATGTTGTAAATGGCTAGATTTCCTTCTCTTACGGCTGAATAGTATTCTGCTGTCTACATGCACGTGTACACACACACACACACACACATCATATTTTGGCTATTATGAACAATACTACAGTGAACATAGGGCTGAAGATATTTCTTCAAGGTACAAATACTATTTCCTTCAGTAGGATGCCCAGAAGTGGTACTGCTGGATTATAAGATATTTCCATTTTTATTTTTTACTGGTTTTTATGATGGCAATTTATTTACATCTCACCAACAGCATACAGATTTCCCTGGTATGTATGTCTCTATTGGGAAAAAATACATACTCTTTTTTTCTATTTCTGAATGGGTTATAATTGTTTTCCTTTGAATTGCATAAGCTTATTATACATTGTAGTTATTAACTTCTTATTAGAAACATGGCTTGATTTTCCTATGTTGGTAGGGTTTAAAAAAGTTTTTTTTCTTTGCTGTGCACAAGCTTTTTAATTTGATACAGTCTCACTTGTTTGTATTTTTTGTTGCTGTGCTTTTGATGTCATATCAAAAAAGTTACTGCCAAGACCAGTATCAACAAGGTTTCTTTCTTTCTTTTTTTTTTAATACGGTTTCTTTAGGAGTTTTAAGGTTTTATGTCTTACATTTAAGTCTTTTATTTTGAGTTAATTTTGGGGTATGGTTTAAGAAAACGATCTACTTTTATTTTTTCACTTGTGGATATCCAGTTTTTCTGGCACCATGTATCAACAAGACTGTACTTTCTGCATTGTATATTCTTGGTGGCATTGTCAAAGATTACTTGACCTTGTATTCCTGGTTTTGTTTCTGGGCTCCCTATTCTACTCCATTGGTTTTTGTATCAATTTTTATGCACATACTATACTCTTGATTACTATAACCTTTAAATAACATTTGAAATTAGAGAGTATGATGCCCCAGCATTGTTCTTTCTCAAGATTGCTCAGGTTATTTAAAGTTTTTTTAGGTTACACTTAACTTTTACAATTGTTTTTTCTATTACTGCGAAAAATACCACTAAAATTTTGATAGGGATCATGTTGAATCTGTAGATCATTTTGTATAATGATACTTTGACAGGGTTAGTTATCCTGATGGAATATGTTTCTATTTATTTGTGTCTACTTCAATTTCTGTTGT